AAAAAAAAAAAGTGTCTTCTGTTTATCCCGGCTCCCTTAAGTGCTGCTGGTCAGATAAATATGGCAAACACTTTATAGTTCTTGATGTTCTAAAGCTGCAGCAGAGAGCTTCGACACTCTCATCTGATACAGGCAACTCTAACATTTAAAGTTTGTTCAAACAAAAGAAGACTTTTTAAATGTAAAGTAGGGAAATGAGCCTATCTTCTATTAACCTCTGGCTACATTAGCCGTAGGCTCAGGGACAAAGACTGCCCTCTGTAGGATGAGTATAGCTAAGAAAAAACTACTGACTTGAATCACACACTTGGTTAGTTTAACCCTCACTGTCACTCATAACTGACCGAGAGCTCATAACTAATCTGAGAAATGAAGGGATCATTTCAGGAAAAGACTCCGTTCCCTTATCCTGAAGATTTGTTATTTTGAAGGAATGATTTGGGACCGGGCAGTGCAGAGCGACTGCAGCAGCTGTGCTGTAATACTGCTCCCACCTTGATTTTATTTATTTATTTTTTTGGGGGGGGGGGGCTGTCAAGTTATCTGGTTCTGCATTTGCATGATGTCCAAGCCTGTTGTCCTATATTTACTTTTTTGCCTTGGGGCAGTACCTGATCTGTTAACCGATTGGTTCACAAAGGTCCATCTACAGTACAGTGGATTACACAATACAACCCTTCACTTTATCACGAACCTGTTTTAGCCCAAGCATTGCTGTAACATAAGAATTGCCTTAAAAGCACATTAAATAACATGCCTAAACTTAAAATGCAACTATTTACACCAAGTAGGTGTGCCATGTGTTACCATACACCTGCAGACAGACCTGCTCTGATTGGATGATATATGTGCTCATCATTGTTAGGTTTTATTGAACCTTTCCAGTGTTGTTTAGACGGAGAGTTAGACTTTGACTTCTTTCAATCAGAGTCGGAGTACAATCAGAATGCATATCATAAACAATATGTGATACTGGGATGTCCTTTGCTTAGCAACATAAAATCCATTAGGAGAAGTTGTTATAGTTAAATAAAAGTAAATTAAACTAGATGTGAAGAAATATTTTAGTTTGTGTGTTGTTGTGTGTAATATTTTTTTAAATGACTTTTGAGAGCAATTAAAACTAACTGAAGCAATTTTGTGCACTACAATAATTAAAGTAAAGCTGTGAAGAAAATATCCCTAGTTTTAGTATCTGTTAGTTTAGTATAAAAA